TGCTGTGGACCACCGCCACTGCAGCTGTTTCCGGAGGGAGAGCCTCTAGCACCTCCCTTACTGGCTCTTCTGAACTGGTGCCGAGGAAGTCAACTTCTTTGCTGGAGCAGGCCCTTTTTCTCCTCTGCTGCCCCGGAACATGTTCAATAGGTACGGCCGCAAGGGGCGCCGTGTCCGGGGCAGCGACAGGCTCCGTAGCAGTGGGGTTTCTCTCTGGGAGGGCCACCCCCGTGGGAATAGTTGTCTGACGCATAACTGGGGGTGGCCTCGCCACAGTTGGGCGTCTGGGAGGGGCAGCACTCTTCTTGCCCTTCCTTCGGAGGTCAGCCTCCAGATCTTCCTGAACCTCCTCCGTCGGAGGCTGAAGTCTCTTACTGGCCTCCACCAGCTCCTCCATTTGCTTCTTATACGAAGAGGAGGAGGCCTTCAGCGCCCTTGCTTCAGCCATCATTTTCTAAATGGTTTTGAAGTCGGGGCGTACTGGCAGCTTCTTGTTGAAATTATCTGCAAAGAAACGAATGAGGAATTAATACAAATATAGGGAGTTCGGGTTAAAAAAAAGTGTGGGCTTCGGTCCTATTACCTTGGGACGCCATTAAGTCGTGAGTGACGAAATGTATGTTTTTCCGAATCAGCCTGTGATATGACCTCTTCTTCTGAGGCAGCTGATAAATAATACAGATAGTGTCGAAGTCCTCTGTCGATAGCTCGCACCGAGGGAGGGAACCTGCGAAAGGAAACATCTGTTAAACACAAGCCCGGCCGAAGAGAAACAAAATATCAACTACTATACTCACTAAGTGTTGAAAACTTCGCCGAGACTGTAAGAGGCGCCAGGGGGTCCCCCTCCATTGTGTCCCATCACCCCGCTGCCCAGCACCAAGAGCTCTTCCATTCCTTGATGGAGCTCGGCAGATCGATCACAAATGGAGTGTGGGAACCCCATGACGTCAGGTAGTACCAACCCCGGGTCTTATCCCCCCCGGCAGTAACCTTAGGTATGTAGAGAGTCTGGAAAACGGAGAGGGGCATCTCCACTCCTAACGACGCCTCTTTCCACAACATCCAGGAGCCCACCATTTGGCTCTAGGAGTTCGGATTGAGCTGCGTCGGGGCTAGCCCGTAAGACCTAAGCACCAACCTAAAGAACGGGTGAATAGGCAGCCTAAGTCCGGCTCTAAGGATCGCCTCACTAATGGCCACGCAGCCCGGCCTCGGGTAACAAGCTCTCTCTTCCGGCTCTGGGAGAATCAGATCCACACTGTCCGGGATCCTATATTCTGTCCTAAGTCTACCAAGGTCAGCCTCCCTCAACTTTGATGGGTAGTCCGACGCCCCCCAGTGCACAGAAGTATCCGGAGGGCTATCTGGTCGCTTCCACATGTTTTCCCCCCCCATTATGGCCTCGGCTATTTCTGAGGAGGTCGCCACAATGGGCTCGTCCACCCTCACTATTTCTAAACTCCTACCCAAACTAGAACTGCCTTCCGAGGCCATTCGTTAAGAAATTTTTAGAGTCTAAATGGGTACTGAAACTTACGAGTTTGGAAGTGTTTCCTAGCCGGAAATGGTGCAAGATCGCCGGAAATATCGCTCTCTCTCGCCGGAGTTGCTTGTAGAACGTCGGAAATCGCCAGAAATTTGGGAGAAAATTTTGTTTTTTCGTATGGCAAAGGTAGAAACTCTGATAAGCCCCCAAAGTTCACCTTTTATAGGAAAGACAAATCCAATCTCCACCGTTGAATTCAAAAACGATCAATCTAAACCGTTCGTTGTATTCTCGATCCCAGCCGTTGAAATGAAACGCCAGATTTGATCTACGCCCAAGATGTCGCTGTGGCTTTCACGCTAAATTAAAACGCGTCGCCTCGGTTACCAACAGCCGTCAATAATAATTACTGGCCGCAGCAGCCTTCTAGGGGAATGGGCGTGGTACCCAACTGTCGCCTTGGAAACACGCAACAGTTGTCAAATCATTGGACTTCTGGGTCGCCTCGGATGATCTCCTCCCCCAGTGGCTAATCGCCTCGGGCGCTGCGTTCCCTCCTATGCTTTACGAAGTTCGAGCCATCTCCCCACGCGTCGACCCCCTTTTTTCGCCAACGCTTCGGCGAGAAACGAGTCCTCCAACTTTACAAAGCTTGGACGCACCCCGATGCGAACGCCCCGTTTGCTATCGCCTCGGTCGCTGCGTCCCCTCCCACGTTTTGCAAAGCTTGAGCCGTCTCCCTCTTCCTGCCAACGCTTCGGTGAAGACGAGTCCCTAAGATTTTTATGACGCTTTAACGTACCCGACGCGAGCGTACCACTGGCTCATCGCCTCGGCTCTGCGTTCTTCCCATGCTCTACAAAGTTTCAGCTACCCCCATGCCGCGATCCGGTCAGGAAAACAAATCCACGTATAATATAAATATTCATTCTCGGATTTGGGGGACCACTGTTACGCCTCATTTTACGAGCCTCGGTACCGAAGTAACATAAAGCTATTTGATGTGACTTATCAATTTTATGTCAATTCAACTCGGGGGAAACAAACTGTCCGCCCACTCTACAAGCGCGGCTAATTGACACCTATGAGCAGACGCTTCATACCGTCAGATGTATACACGTGTTCCACATCCCACGGTTCATACCACCTATAAATACCCAAAGATTGGCCAGAGGCAAAGGTAATGAAACTCTCAATAGATAGCACTCCATAACAAGTTTATATATTCTCCTCCCCCTTTATTGACTGATTG